GCCTCCGCCCTCAGCCCCGTGGCCGGGCCTCGAGGGTGCCCCTCAGGCGCCCTCCCCGCGTGGCGCAGGCCGTTTGCCCACGACCTCTCTGTGGCTTCTTCGGGGCTCTCACCGGCCGCCTCCGGCAAGGTGACCTTTTGCTTCGACTCCGACAGGCGTTGGCGTGCCAACAGGTCTTCTCTCTTGCGTGTCTTCTCCTCCCCACGATGTGTTCGCTTGTGTGGAGAGAGAGAAGGGAGAACGTCCTGAAGGCTCCTCCCCGCCCTTTTTTGGCGCTGACTGAAATGCCCCCCTACTCCTTTGCACTGACAGGCAACATCATCCCAGCTCGCATCCCTCCTTGCCCGCAGCCTTTGGGCTGCCCCAGGCCTCGCTCCTGCAGGACCCATCTCGTCCTCCCTGTTGGAAAAAGTACATCTTTTTCCAGAAAAAGTGAGCCAGCTTTGAGTGAGGTCCTCGTGTGGACTTTGATTCTCATCCTGATAAGCACTTACTGTTCCTTTTTTACCACGTATGTTAAGAAAATAAAAACACGGTCATAGAAAATAGGTGTTTTCTTTTTCTTTTCCAGTGGCACAGCAGTGGACTAGAAAGTTACAAATGTAGAAGCCTCAAAACATTTGAAAGATTCCTAAATGGCTATTTATGTTCCACAAATTTAGGTTAAGGAGGTGATTTACTTTATTTACAGTTCTTATGATGACTTCAGGCATGGAATTGTTCCTGTACCGGAGGTTTTCAGGCACTGGGATGCTAACCTGTTCTGTGCTTCTGAATGTTTCTTCAAGATCTTTCCTCTGATTTGGCTCCTAACACCTGTAGCTTTCTTTTTTTATTTACTTATTTTGTTAAGGGTAACATGACAAAGATTACTGTATTTGCTTTTGTTTGAACTTCAGCATTCTTGTCAATTTTATTAGAATAAAAACCTGTAATGTAAGGTGGTGGCCCCATGTGTCCAAATGCTTGGTCTTTATTATGTGGAATACTACTATTGTTTTTGAAAAATGTTGAGAAATTTTATAAAGTTAATGTGTTTAAAACACGTTAAAACATGATAAACACTTCACGTGTTTAACGTGAAGATACACTTTATTCAAATGTAACTTCCCTGTGTTATTTATGATGTTTGTGTTTCATTCTGCATGACAGCATAGTTTCACTTTTCAGCCTTTAGAGAAAGCTTTTCATTATTTGCTGAACTCTGGATATTTTATGTAACTGTATTCGTTAAATATTTTCACTGTCTTTTTTATAAAGAAATAAAGGCTGAAATGGGGGTGCCTAAAATCAAGCAAACCTCGTTATGGGAAACCCCTGAATCTTAATATAAAATTTAAAATGTAACTCTTGAAGTTGTAATTTTCTTCTATTGTCAGACGTCAATAAATCTGACATACCTTGCTTTTTTGCTCTGTAGCGCTCAATTTTACGTATACTGGTTTAGGGAGGTACGTGGGGTTGGGAGACTTTTCTAAACACAGAACTGATACGTTTACTGCATTCTAACCACAAGATAAGGCCTGCATGCTTTTTTCCTTACTCTAATAACATGCTTGATCCTGCTCTTGCAGAAGCTAATAGTAGTTTTGCAATTCGTGGGTTAAAAACTTGAACGGGGACTTAGGGGTTTTAATGGTCTGATTACCACATAAGTTGAAACAGAAATGGTTGGAGTATGAAGGGAAATGTTTACATGTATGACCAGTGTTGCTTTTCTAGTGTAGCTTTTTTTTCCCTCCTTGATGCAGTAATCTATGCTATCACTTTGAAAACCTGTTGAGTAACTGTTGATGAGCTATTTATGGGACTTGTATCTGATTATTTCCCACATACACGCTCTTCCAAAAAAAGGGGTTTGGGTAGGATGAGTTGTTTCACAGATATCATATAAGAATTCTACAAAAATACAGTCGAAGGCTCTGGGCTGTTGCTTTAGACCAGGCTTCCAGAACCAGAATGCTGGCAACTTGAAGAAAATACTGGCAGCAGAAGTTGAGGAGGCCAGTGTAAAACTGCTTCAGATCAGTGTGGAATTTCAGTCTTCCCTTTTCTGGAAGAAGATTGCAGATTGGCCTTCTTGATTATTGCAACAAAATGTGGTGTTTTAATTAGAAAAACAATGGAAAGAGGAACTTAATTTGCAAATGGGAGTGGTCTGTAATCATCAAAGCTCTATATGAAACTCTGATTTGAGACTTAAAGGGCATAGCATAAAGCATTTTTTTAAGGTAGAAATCGAACAGTGTTTTTACTGCTTTTTAGATTGATTACAGTAAGAATTACAGTGATAGCAGTATGTCAGAGAGTGTATATTTCAGATGATCATTTTCTTCATGTTTTTTGTTTCAGAGTGAGGCTGTAATTATGGAACAGAAATCCAGAAAATGACAGAAAAACGTTAGTTGCCCTCTTCTAGGACAGTCATGTTGGAAGGATTGGTAGCCTGGGTCCTCAACACCTATTTGGGCAAATATGTCAATAACCTGAACACTGACCAACTTTCGGTCGCTCTTCTAAAGGGTGAGGCTTTGTGGCATTTTCTGTAGTGTTTTCATACCGCGATTTAAAAGAAAGAAGTGTTATGTTTTTGTAATAACTGGAAGGTGGAATAGAAACAATCACTTAATATTGTATTCAACATTTATATAAACCCTTTTAATACAGAGTTTTGTGCTAGCACTTTACAATGAATAGTAAATTCTCTTGTGTTCCTATCTTTGTTGCTTTTTATCAACACCGTTAAACTAATTTATATGAAACTTTCAAAAGTATGCTTAGCATATCTTACCAGCATCTTCGTATAATATTTGAGTGTAATTTTTCTTCATACTGTTCAATAACTTGCCTGTTGAGGGTCTGTGGCAGGAAGTATTCTGTAGCCTTTACTTCTTAGGTTTAAGTGCTAGTAGTTACTCCCCTGTAATTAAGACTTCTGGTTTATGTCATGTTACATCATGTTATGTTCACGAGTCTTGTACTTTTACAGAGTCCTCAAATTAATGTTTTCTAATTTACCTTTTGCTGCTATTATCTGCTATTTTTGGAGAGAATATTTTATTACACTTCAAAGCTTTTCTGTGCGTGCTTTTTGTAATATTGAGAAAATACTTGAAGTGATACTTTTGAAAAGACAGAGTAGAAGCTTTCTCCTTGGTTACAATAAAGTTCAGATCTAAAACCTTGTAGAAGATTGCTTCTAGATGACCTCATCAAATAGTTTGAGCACATGGCATTGGAAAATTAACAAGTATGTTAAATAACCATCGCAATTGTAACACAACTTGAAGTGGTAGGTTGTCTGTTCTCATGAAATCCGATTTGATTTTTTTTTTCTTTAAAACATGATGCTAGTCATTTTAGTCTTAAAAGTTCAAGCTGGCATTCTTTAACATAATTTTGTTTAACAGACTTGTCTTTTTTTCTGCTTTGTATAGGTGCTGTTGAATTGGAAAACTTGCCACTAAAGAAAGATGCCTTGAAGGAACTGGAATTACCATTTGAAGTAAAGGCAGGTTTGTATTTTGCTTGTGTGTGCAGGACAAATATTTATAAACAGGAAGTATTGCATATTTTAGAAGAACCTTTACCTATGAGTCAGAAGCTTGAACAAATGAGGTAACCTGGTTTTCAGGTAATCCAGTTCTATTTTAGCTTGTTTGCTTCTTATACTACTTTTTCTTTCAGGTTTTCCAAGGGTGATAAAGCATGTTTACACAGGAATCTGATAGCATCTGTGTTTTGTATATCTAGGTTTCATTGGCAAAATAACACTACAGATACCTTTTTATCGCCCACATGTGGATCCATGGGTGATATCTGTCTCAAAACTGCATTTAATTGGTGCCCCAGAAAAAAAGGAAGATTTTGATGAGGAAAGGGAGAAGTTGCAAGAAAGAGAACACAAGAAAGCCCTTCTTCTAGCACTTGAAGAAAAATGGAAAGTGAGTCACACTTGTCTTTCATGGTGAAGAAACCACTATGGTAGATGGATTGCATTTAAGTCTCCTAACAAGTAGGAGAACAAATGCATACGAAACTAAGTTAGTATTTGATTCATACATGCTAACGTAGTGCAATTTCTGCCCCACCCCACAAATTCATGTCACGTGTCCCACATATGTTGGAGATACTGAAATCGTTGGGGTTTTTTTCTTTCTCCCTGTTCACAGGAGTTTCAGTATAACAAGGTATATTATTGCCTGACCAGTTGTTACAGTGGCGGTTAATGCTTATCCCTATTTTCTCTTCTAGAAAGAACGACAACAGAAAGGGGAATCTTACTGGTACTCAGTTACTGCATCTGTAGTCACAAGAATTGTAGAAAACATTGAAGTAAGCCTTTGCATTGTAGAGCTTTTCCCACTTGTTAAGAATTACCTGTGCCCACTGTGCTTCACATTGTGTAGTCCACAGGAAAGAAATACATAAATCAAAGGTAGATGTTTGGCAGAGGACAGTCCCTTTTCAGACTGAGCCTTCATAACTTCAGTCCTAAACTAGTCCTGATGGGGACTTCTGGAAAGGAAAAACCTCCATCCTGCTTTTACCAAGGGGAAAACATCAACTTTTTTGGTTTGCAACAGTAGGCGGATAATGAAATTGCATTAAATCTGATGGGTTTTGCTCACATTTTAATTCTTTTAAGTTATAAACCCACCAAAATATCGAATTGTTTATGAAGCAGAAAAGCGTTATTTGTTTTGATAAAAAGATGATTTGTAAAGAAACAGATCTCAGGGTTTCTGTTGATCTATGATTTTGATTATTTGACTGCGTGTTGTCTCTCAAGTTCTTTAATTATTCTTTTTCTACTATTAATAAAAATCTGCCATGTGTCTCCTAAGTATCAAAATGACTCAACAGTATGGCTGTTACGCTCTGTTGCTTTTTCTCTTTGGAAGTCCTAATGTAGTTAATGACATTTTAGCCACAGTTACATCACTAATCATTTGTGTTTAAGAACCAGAAGCTTTATACATATTACTTGCTAAGGTTTGTCTGCTCGCCTCCATGGAAGGACTATCCCTTTTCCTTATGTGCAGATAGACTGACTATATTATTTGTTGCATTTCAACTCACTAGAGGCAATTTAGCAGCAAGATACCTCAGACTACTTGCTTTTCCTGATATGTTTGAGAAGAATGTATTTGGTGCAGGAGCTCAAGGCGAGAGTATCTACACTTTTCTCAGTCCTGGACTCTATATTCTCTGAGAAACCACAGTAACTCGGTGCTCTCAAAGGTTTTACCAATATAAAATTAGTTTGGGTCACCTTGTATTGTTATTAGTTTGCAGTTCTGGCCCGTGCTGATTCTAGTATATAAAACAAATTTGAGTCTTTGGTTGGCAATTACACATTTGCCTTTAAAATAAAGAATAATAGTAGGATGGCAAAATAAAGTACGCTGTCTTGTGAAAGTGGCTAGTTGTTTTGGGGGAGAAGGGCAGGGACTAGTGGTATCTGAGGAGAAGATAGAACCAGAGAGTACAAAACCGGAAGTGAGGAGTAGGATTTTTATGACATCTAAATAACTGCCAGAAATTTGTTGGAGAATTGCAGAAATTAAATACTAAATTGCTTCAGTGTTAATGAATAGTACTGCTGTCCACTCTAATGATGTGAATAGTTGTCTCCAGTAATGTTTTTTTTTCTGTCTAGTTAAAAATTCAGGATGTCCATTTGAGGTTTGAAGATGGTGTCAATAATCCTTTGCAGCCATTTGCGTTTGGCATATGCATCAAAAATGTATCAATGCAAAATGCGGTATTTGAACCAGTAAGTATAACTTTTTGTACAAGAACTCATGGCAGCTAAGATGTGATGCTGTATTTTATGGGTGTTAGTAAATATTTAGTAAAAAGTGTGGCGTTCTAATAATCTTCTGGTTATTGTAATAAATTGATTCTGGGCATTTCGTATTGTTTATTGAGTATGTAGAACTAAAAACTGCGTGGCATGTGGTGTGTGATCTTGACTTTATTCCACTTTTTCTACTTCAGGTAGAGAAGCTGATGCGGAAAAAACAACTGGATGTTGCCGACTTCAGTGTTTATTGGGATACCAACTGCACTTTATTGGGTGACCTGCCTCCTGGTCAGCTACAGGTACAAGAGAGAGATATTGCATATGAAAGAGGTCGTTGTTGTTGTTGTTATATTGTTGTTTCTATATTGCAGACCTAATTGACTTAGAATTTATTGGATCTGGTGCTTTTAGGAGCAACAGAAGTTTATGGTTTCATACTATAATGATAGCATACATGTACAACCCACAAAGGCTGTGCTGTGAAATACCTTGTTTTACCTTTGAAGAGAACGTGTTTAAGAGGTTTTTTTCATGGGCTGGCATGCTAATAAAGTTTAGCGTAGTATATGAAACCAATGCATCCTAATAAGTGTTGTACACTCATTTCTTATAGAATGAATTTGCTTGTAACCCACAGGAAGCGATGGATAAAAGTATGGAAAGTCGTGATCATAATTACATCATGGAACCTGTATGCACTTCTGCTCTTCTTAAACGAAATTGTTCTAAGGAGCCTTTAAGATCACGCCAGACTCCGCGGCTTGAGTGTGACATTCAGCTTGAGACTATACCCTTGAAGCTTTCACAGGTAAATGCCAACCATCTTCATTTAGCTCTCGATATCTGAAACAGGGACTGTTGAGAAGCAGGGTAAATGAGGCCATCATGAAGTCTGTGCTGTTAACTATGTTAGGCTGCGTTGGGTGTCAAAACTAGTTAGTCTTCAAGGTTGCTTGGGTATCTGTGTGCTGTATTGCGCACTGCTTTATGGTCAGTTTCTAAGAAAATGACTGATTAAAGAAGATACTCCTTTATGTTTTGGTTATCATTTTGTCTACAAATTCAAATTGGTAGTTTGACATAAGAGTGTATTATTTCCTTCCCACGTGCTGCAACTGTTGTTTGTATGTCAGTGCTTCTGAAGATTCTGCTGGTAAAATGCCATCCTGAATTATCTATCTCTAAGGAAACAGTTGCAGATTCAAACAGTGAAATACGTCTTAAGGGTCATAAAACTGTGGTAGTGTTTGTAACAGCTTAAATACCAATTATTGTAGCATAAAATTAATACTTTCTTAGATTTAGTTTTAGAGGCAACTGGAAGTGATATACTAAAGAAGCTGCTTGTTTTAAAACCAAGGATGCCAAATTATTTAATTATTTTACTGCAACTGATTATTGCAAAAAAATTACGTTCTTGTTTGTTTATAGTAGTAATAGGAGGGCTGCATATGGGGTTTTTTTTAGTCTATGGAATGTACAATAGCGGCCTATGTTAGGTTGATAATCTGACATGGAAGGAGATCTCATTCTGTGTGTTTGTAAATAAGGAAGCCTGTAAATTGAATGTCACACATTAACTACTAGCTACTGGGAGAAGGTATGTGACACTAGAGAACCACATTATGAATTATGATTAACATTAATCTTAATTCTGAAGCCATATGCAGGCCATTGAGGCAGATAAACTAAGCCTGTGGTTGGTTTTTTGTTTGTTTTGTTTTTTCCTCCCCTTTGCTTTGGAAAGCACTCCAATATTGCCTAATTGATCTGTGTATTGTTTTACTAAAAGATGCAGTATCAGCAGATCATGGGATTTTTAAAGGAACTGGCTAGAAAGGAACGACAGCTTAAATTCAGGAAGTGGAGACCAAAGGTTACAGTAACAGGGAAGTAAGTATTTCTACGTGTGCGGTGTTGTTAATATGATATTAAAAACTATACTAGGGAGACTAGAACGAAAACAAATATAAAAAGGTAGAGAATAATCATATATTAGAGTTTCAGTTTTCATGTTTTGCTCCCCTACTCATAAATCAGTTTTAAATATTCATATGTAATTCAAGCTTAAAATAAAATTATTCATACCTGAGGTTTTAAATCCTTCTTTCATAGCTTCCAAGAACTGAAATTAAGTTGGAGGTTCTACCCCCATGTGGTCACTGTGGTGTTCTGGAATTTTCTTTGTGGAAAGAGCTCCTACTAAGTTTCTTCTATTGATATGTAAGAAAGATGGTATCAGTTCAGACCAGAGGTCTGTGTAACTCAACGTTTTGTTGTCTATGCCTGATACATAACAGCTATACTAAATCCCACTAAAGTGGTGGGGACTTTGCAGCACTGTTCTACACAACTTGTAGAACTAGCCCATGTATGCTGTCTCTAATACTGATGCTTTTTCTGACCAGTTATCCTCTGTTTTTTCACTGAACCTCTCCTGGACCTTTCACCAGTTTGACATGCATTTGTTTTTTCTTGAAATCTTGGTAATACAGTAATTTAAAAATGTTTCAGCTGCCGAGAATGGTGGATCTTTGCTTTGAATGCTAATCTTTCGGAGATCAGGGAGCAGAGACAACGTTCTACCTGGGAGTTCGCATTGCATCGGGCCCAAGATGCAGTATCTTACACTGACATGTATTATAGCAAGTTGAAGGGGGAACCACTGTCTACTGCAGAGCAGGTATTTAGATTTGAGTTTTCTACAGTGTTGATTAACCGTCTAATATTTGATTTGTTTCATCTTCTCAAATTTAAAATCTATTCTAGTTTAGAAACATCTTTAGTTTTACTGCAGGCCATTTTCACTGAACAGATTGTCTTTTGACCACAACTGAGTTTTTAATGCTTGAAACCTGGGCTTGTGGGAGGTGTGTGTGTGGCAGGGTTCTTGTGTTTTTGTTTTGCCATGCAAAAAGCTGTCTTTTTTTGAGCTGTAACTGGTTTTCACCAAAAATAGCATTAACTCTCATTGAATGCTCTTGTCAGTCTGTGACATGCTTTCCTAACTTGTGTTCTCTATAGACTCAAAAAGTATTTAAATATCAGAAGTGTGTCAGGTCACCCATATGGTTGGGTAGATGATGTGGGAAAAATTGTGGCTAGTTGACAGTGTGTTTGGGGGTGCTTGGTTGTTTTTGTTTTTTTGTTTTTGTTTTTCCACAGTTGATTTTAGGATGAATAATTTAGAGGGAAAGTGCCCCTAATAATGAACCTGTGTCCTACTTCAGAAATAAAAAACCCTGTGAACTATAATTGGCTGCTTTTTATCTTTAGTGTATTGGGACTTTTTTATTAAATCAGTTCAGGGCCCCACGTACCTCACCTGTCTTAATTACAGGTGCGATTCTATTGATACCTTAAGTTGTATGTAATCCTTACTTGTGTTATTTAGGCATGAACTGTAGGAGTAGGTCAGTGTACTGGAAATTTTATAGTACCTGTCAAAGTGGGAGACTTTTACTTTCCTATAGCTTGTATTGTCTTCAGCAGAGCTGTGAAATGTAACAAGGGCAATGCCGCTGAACTAGAAAAATATCTTTTGCTTTCTTGTTCCATGATACATTTTTTAGACCTGGGTGAATCATAAGCTTCCACAAACAACAACTTAATCAGTACAAAGAAGACAACATGTCTAAGTAACTGAATATGAATACTACATTGTCCTAATTTATGCAGTTCATTTCTTCTACCTTCTTTACTCAAGACAGAAGCTTTTTTTGTTCCTGGCTAAGCTAGGCATTCTGTTAAATCAGGTTATTTTCCATGGCTTAAATTTTGTGCTGCAAACCTTGCTTCTGATGCATGATAGGAGGATAGAGTTGGGCAAGGAATTTTTACCATGAAAAGTGTTTAAATAATGTATTTTACAATGCAAATAAACTTTATTTGTAGTATGGGGGAATGTCAGTGTTACGGTTGCCTACATGACTTCTGCTTGTTTTCATGTGCTTACGCACTTGGATACTATCATTAATGCCATGTTTGTTTTTTCTGTGAATCTCTAACTTACTCAGTGCAGAGATGTTTGACATGTTTGTGAACAAGATGCTATATTCTTTTAGTGCAGTTACTTTACCTTTTTTGTCTTTTCAGGCAGAAATGCATCGTATTGAGGATGAGCAAACTTACGAGGAGTTGAAGACACTATATGAGATAGTTCATGATAAATTTCATGACCTAGCTGAGGTAAGGAACATTCTGCATACAGGGTAATAATCGGAATTTTTAAGTGACTTATTCTGAGGTATTTTGTTCTGTTCTGCTGGGGAGTATTAGCATGTATTTGCTTTGATTTAGAAGTGTGGCATTAATGCTAAAATAGCAAACAATGCTCAGTTCCTGCAGTTTTTACTGTTGTGTCACTTGCACGGTGAAATCTTTTGTCTAGTCATATGATGATCTTCCTCAATAGTATCCTTGCCAGAATTCCTAGGGTAAGTACTCTTCATCTTAAAAACAGAGGGTGGAAATAAGGGCCTATCATGAGTATTTTCCCAGAATAAATATATGGCCGAGGTGAACCTCATGTAAATGTTTCTGAGCACACTTCATAAAATGTGGACTAATCTCTGTAACAATACAATGTCGTCTCTCTTTCAAAAACAGTTGCTAAAATTTAAAGCTGTGTCAAATGACTTCTTATTTGGTTTATTGTTTCTAGACTAAGATTTAAATAATGCCATATGGCTTCATAGATGAATATGCAGCAGTTAACTGATGATATGTTTGTTATTTCTTAGCTGCTGCTCTCCTAATAGGCTAAGTATTGATTGAAAATATCACTGCTGGTATACTGAAGAGTACTGAGTAAATAGGAGATGGAATTGTATTTTTATTGTGATGTTTCTGTACCCTTGTGATATTCTTCCGCTTATCAGCAGTAATGTGTATGTCTTCAATATTCAAACATAGAGTGTTAAAGAGCCGTTGCCTGAGTCTCCTGGAGGTTCCCCTACAGCAGAATCTGCACATGGCAGTAGCACTGGAATGCTGCAGTATCTTCAGTCTTGGTTTCCTGGTTGGGGAGGTTGGTATGGATATGCTCAGCAAACATGCGAAGGTGAACCTTTTGAAGGACTGCTGCCGGACCCAAAGGAACAGTGGAATCCAGAAGACATACTAGGTACGTAAATACAGGGTTTTCTGTTTCTTTTTAAGGCTGTTAATGCTACCATAGTTAGATACCTGGTAAAGGTGAACAGAAACAACTCTTTGGTTGTGTACTGTTAAAAGATTACATGTGTCAATTGATGAACCTAGGCAGCAGAGCCTGTCTAAAGCTTAATAACCTGTTAAAAAATGTCGGTAGCTGGTGCATCTGCTTATTTCTAAAGCGATATATGGGATACATTTGCTTCCATTATTATAGATATTTATGGCAAAGAGCTTTGGGACTTCTTCTGTTCAGGTGGGTGGGGGTCATGTAGCGTGCTGTGACTGGGTATAGCATTAACAGTACTGGGTTGTTGGGGTCTTTGTAAATTTACGTTTACATTACCTTAATTGAAATAGAAGAGAATATTTAGTTTTGTTAAGGAAGAAGGCATATCTGCTTTATTTTTTGTTTCTATTTTTCTTCCCTAGAGCTGGGGAAATCTTTATTTTTAAATTCAGAGAAACTTTTTTGTTCTTCAGTAGCCTTCCAGGAACTTAACTTATTTAATGCATTGTTTTGTGGTTGTTTTTTTTTAATTAGGTGCAGATGAATTTTTTGATCCTGCTGCAGATGCTTCTAGCATGAATACCTTTACAAAGAGAGATCATGTTTTTGCTAAATTAAATCTACAGTTGCAGGGTGGCTCTTTCACTCTGTTGCATAAGGAGAAGAAGGTGGTGCATGCTGAAGAGACTGCTTTTATGCAGCTGGAGTTTTCAGGTATTAAGTCAATTTCTGTTCTTTCTCAAAAAAGACCAGAGCTTTGTCCGCCTTCAGACTTTCCTTTGGTGTTTTTTTTTTAATTCTTTAAATTACTGTACTGAAAGTTCAAAATGAAAATATGAAAACAGCTTGCGGAAATCGATGTATCACGTGAAAATAAGTTTCTCTCTTCAGATGTGTGAGTGATTTCAACACAGAAATCTAATTTTAGACATTGTTATGTGTGAAGGGAAGACAACTATAGAAATACATGCTTCACAATCATTGTAATGTATTCCAAATTTCCATGTTTAGGTTTTTTTAGTAGAAATAAATATGTGTAAGCACTTCTAAAAGACTTGTTTGTTAGATGAAATTTGTTCTCTGTAAAATTTAAATAAAACCTATGCTGTGTACTAAAAGAAATAGAAGCATTTTATGCATTTATATTCTAGGTGTAAAGATCTTGGCAGAATCCCTTCCTCGCAGAAATTCTTCCCTTCTCAAAGTTCAGCTTGGTGGTCTTTTTCTGAGGGATTTGGCAACTGAAGGGACCATATTTCCTGTTCTTGTTTTCCCAAATCCTGTAGGTGAAAAAAACTCTTTAAGTTACTATGTAGGATGCATAAGTGTGTATGAAAATAGTTATATTCCAAAACTCCACACATGTTTTTCTTGGTTTGTGTCTTAGCCCCGAAAGAGAACACAAAAGTCTTGAAGAAAAATTTCCACTTGTTGAACTTACTTTTCCCCTCCCTTTCCAAAGATCATTTGTAGAACTCTTCCTTGTTTGCTCTGTATGCTTGTAACTTTAACGTTACGGTCATATGTGTTGGGAAGAAGATAATTTGTTGAGCAAGATTTGATTTTTGGAACGATCAGCATTGCTGCTTAATCAGTGATCGTTCTTTTTCATAAAGCTCTTTGGTCCAAGTAAGGTTTTATTTCACCTGGATACTGTTGCACTAAAAGCGGAAATACAGAACTTTTCTTTTTCTTCCTAATGAATTGCTGAAAAGATTTCAAATATCTCTTCTGAGCAAACAACACTTGAATCTAATTCCATGAGAATTTCCTATGTATTTTGTACTTTGTAATTTGTAGAGAACTGACTGAAACTTGCACTTCAGACTTCAGTCTGTCTGCTACATGAGTAGATAGCGTTAGCTTCTTAGTCATACTTCCTTCTCTTGTTTGACTACATCAGGGGAAAAAATGCATATAATAATCTCAGATTATACATACAATTCACTTAGAAAATGACCATAAGACTAATACAGAAAAGACTTTTATGCTCATATCAGGTGGCTTGGTTGATTTTATCTAAACATTCTTTTTCTTTTAAATTCTTATCAGCAAAAAGAGGTTGCCTGCATGTCTTCCTTTGGACTCCAAAGTTTGTCCTCAGAAATGACTAATCAGAACACTGGTAAAGATTTCATTTTGTTTGATGATAACAAGTATATGAGATAATTCCTACAAACAAGAAATTTCAAAACTGAGTGCCTAGAGTTTGAATTCATACAAGTGCTTTTTGCAAATAGTAAAGATAAAATCATAGAAGCTTTGTTCAGACATAAGGGCGCGTGCAAGTTGGCTTTAAAGAAAGTGAGTAAGAAAAAATGTATTTCAAGACAAGTGGAGTTGCACTTGCTCGTTGTCTTGGTTTAAAAAAAGAAGAAAAGTTGTTAGGAGTTCAACATTAGGATCCCAGTTCTGAAAATGTTTTTGTATATACAAACATGTTGAATTCTGTTGATTGTAGAAGTTGATCATATTACTTGCTTTTCTGTTACTGAAGAATTTTCAGACAGGTACTACTTTCCTAGTAGTACCAATTAAAAATTAGTTACTAAATTCTTTGGGGGTTGTTTTTTGCTTTTGTCCATTTGTTTGTTTGGGTTTTTTTACAACTGCTTTTTGTAACTCATTTTTTATTCAGTTGCAGATCCTGATGCCCCAGTGTTTGAGATGCTTTATGAAAGAAATCCAATCCACAGCAATTTTGAGAGGCGCCTGGAAGTCAGTACCAGACCTCTAAATATTATTTACAATCCACAAGCCATTAAGAAAGTAGCTGACTTCTTCTACAAGGGAAGGGTTCATACCTCAGGTTAACCTTTAATTTGTTTTTTTGGTGGGGTTGGGGTTTTTTTTGGTGGTATTGTATCTTTTCTTATCTTTGATTTTTATTTATTTTCATTCTTAGAAATATAAAGCACTGATCAAAGAATCTCCACCTTAAATTCAAATTAAGCAATGCTCTGAGTCTTCTCTGGATGATTTTTTTTGTTTGTTTGTTTTTTGTTTAATTGAATAAGGGATTTCGCTTGGGCAGACTCCTGAAACTTCTGCTTTAATATTGCAAGTTGCTGCTATACCACATGGTGGATGTTCATGCTGCCTAAATTAAAATGTATAAATAAGGAGGCCTGTTTCTGTAATCTCTCCTGGAAATTGATGGAGAACAGCAGTTTTTTTGAGAGGACAGTTAAAAGCAGAATATTTTCTATAGTAACAATACAGGGGAAATTGTGTTCTAATTCCTGTTGTATCTCTTCTGTTGGTTAAATTAAGTCTGACCTTTGTTACAGCTGCTTGAGGTACCTTGTTTTTTAAATGTTGAACATACTGCTTCCCTAAGCTTCTAAGGACAGCAATATTTAGGAACCTAGTACCTGAGCCTGTAACATTATAAAGTGACTGCCTTTGCAGTTTTAGTTGTTAAAGTTCAGTTTCTGAGGAGGTGAGAGGTGAGAAAAAGGAACATTAAAATGTTCTTAAAGTACCAGTTCTTTTTCTGTTGATTTTGGCAAATACCAGAAGATTTAAGTTACCTAGCAAAAAGGTGTGGGTGATACTTACCTTTTCTCACAAGATGAGAATATTCCGTAAGCATTAGAGGCAAAGTTTAAAACAAACAAGCAAAACAAACAAAAAAAGACTGCCTACACATTCCACAAACTTCTTAACGTTTAGTCAGAATTTCGCTGTTGCCATGCTTATCACCCTTTCTGTCCCCCTGAAATTTAGTATCTCAGGTTGAAGGTCTGTGAAATAAAGACCAGAAAAAGGTTTGGGAAGTGTTTTTTTGGTGGGATTTTTTTGTGCTTAGATGCTTCCTTTTTTCTGTGAAGCAGCCTGTTGTGTAGGTACAGCCAGTGGCTTTCAGCTGCTGTGTTTTCCTGTCCTATATTTTACTGCTAAAATTTAAAATAGATCTTTTCTTTTTCCCCCCCTTTTTTTTTTTTACTGATTCAATAACAGATTAACAAAATTATACCTAGTCGGTTTTGTATCTCTTGTCCAGGTTTTGGATATCAATCTGAGTTAGAGGCAAGAGTGGCTGAAGCTGCCAGAAGACAGTACAACAAGCTGAAAATGCAGACAAAAGCTGAAATCAGGCAAACTATTGATCGTTTACTAGTAGGAGATTTCATTGTAAGTTTTTGCCCAAAAAATGTTTATGTAGGCTTCTTTGCGATATGTTTTAGGACTTAAAGCTCTAAAGAGTGGATTTTTTTGTTGTTCGTTTGTGTGGTGTTCTTTTTAAGAAAGTGAGAGTTTTACATGTGGTATTGTAGTATTCCTTTTGCTGTCAAACAATCCATTTTTGTGTTGCAGACCTGTTGTGTTTAATGGCAGAATAGTATTTTTCTGTTCTTGACCCCGTTATTGTGATGACTTCATGGCAACGTGTTGGCTCCAGTGTGCATTGGAGCTCTGTTACGTCAGACTTACTAAATTTGTGTGTAACTTACTTAAAGATTATTTTCTAAATTAAAAAATTGTTCCACCTTTATTTGTTTTTTGCTCATTCTTCAGTTTTCAAGTAATACTAGTATATGTATCAGTATCATTAATCCCTAGCTTTGGAGTTAGCTATATTGATGCAAGATAGTTGTTTTATATTGTTCTCAGTGAAATTAAAAAATACTTGTTGTGAAAAAGTAATAGTTTGATGTTGGATAAAACAGTCTAGCGCATGTTGTATTCATGGATAGCCTTGACAAGGATTTATCTGGTCCAGTGTCATGTAAAAGGTAGCTGCCTTCGCTTAGCTATGCAGGTAGGTTCACTCTCCTCAGCTTAGACATGGGAAGTCCCTCTGGAGAGGGATTCGTTGCATCTATCTTAGCATGGGATGTTTCACCTACTGAAAATGTCTCTTCATTGACTGTAATGGGAGTCTGTGGTTTAACAAGCTACCCAACTTTAGTATGGCTGAAGGTTGTGATGGTTAGCTCTTCAGTTGAAAAAGTGGCTAACTAGATTGATTTGTTCGACACGGCTTTTTTTGTATGTGATGGGAAGCTATTTCTTGTGGGCTATTATTTCTTTCTTCTTAACTTTCAGGAAAACAGCAAAAGCTGGACGGTGTGCCTTGATATTTCTGCCCCTCAGGTGATCTTTCCTGATGATTTCAAATTTGTGGATCCAGTGTTAGTTGTTGTAGATCTGGGAAGAATATTACTTACCAATTCTCAAGGTATGATCTAGAATTATTGCAGCTTTCCTTTTCTTTCCACCTTCTCCCAGAAGTCTTTTGTCTGTGTAGAAAGTAGGGATGTCTTAAGGTTATTTCCCCTATATATGCATAGAGTTTCACATAATAATGCTGCTATTATCAATACATTTTTAATTAAGATTGATATAAAGTTTTTAAAATAATGGGGGGGTGTGTGCACAGTTTTTTTTGGTTTTGTTGGGGGTTTGGGGTTGTTTTGGGATTAACTTTTAAATTAAAGGCTGCCCTGTGATATCTTGCATCTCTTGAAGGCTATGAACAGGTGTGAAGCTGGTGTGTCAGGCACTTTACCATAGATACGATTTTGGCTTAGAATGGTGTAAGATGTAGCTGTCGAATGATTTTTTGGGACAGTGCTCCCAGTGAAAGTATGCTTTGAATAAGCCCTCCAATTTTGGAGTCACATGGATCTCTGCTCTTAGCACACATGTCTAGAGCTAGCCGAAGAAAAGTGAAAGGAAAATTGGTGTCCTTCGTTATTATCAAAAGTTAAGATCATTGCTTCTTAAACAAATCATTGCTTCTTTCCTGTTCCACTTTGAAAACAATGCAGGAAAATTAAAAAGAAAGTACAGTGGAACTTGTAAATAAAATTAGACCTACTTAAAATCTAGCTGAACTGTATGGTGTGTGAGGAGACGTTAAAAAA